TTACTCTGCTAAAGTGAAGAGCGGTGATTGGCGCTAAGAAGCTCATTGCTGATTGGCCAGATTGCGAGCCCTGAAAATGCAGCTAGTCTCAATATAAAGACTTGGACTGGCGGGAAGAAGTGTGGTTCGTCTTTGGGGTTAAGAGTGCCCGGAGCTGGCCGGGACTCCGCTCATCATTGCCTTGTTTTTGAGTCGCGATTGTATTTTCTGTACTTAGGGCTATGACCCTAGTTTGCCTGCGGGCCTGAGCTTAATTTAGCCTTCGGGCGTGTTTGCACTGCTGTGCGTGTGCGTGCGCGTGTAATGCGTCGGGTCGTCCCTGCAAGCAGCGCGGATTCCGGACTCCGTGACGACTCCTCTTCATCGACCAGGGACTCCAAGACAGGCTTTGGCAGCGTCTGGACTACAGATAAGACCTTTATATTATGTTGCGATTGGCTAGGGCCAGCGTGTTCGATCAATTTTAAGTTTGTCTTATCGAGGGTTGTTCAGGAAAGGTTTTTAGCGTTACTAACCGGGATGTTAGTGCATGTACTCCCGAGGGTTTTCGGATAGTTCGCTAAGTGATTTCTATGTTGTTCCTACTTTGTCGCCGCGCGCCACCGACTGTTTGGTGTTAAGTCTTATTAAATTTGTGCTTTGTTTTTGACCATCTACGTGTCGTCGCCTCCTTACCTGACATTGCACCCGACGTGGACCTATCGCCTGCAATCAGCCGAACCTAGCACTTCTATTACTTTTTTTAAAGTAATTTTTGTTGGCCTCGGTATGGGCTATTATTTTCATTTGTTGAAGATTTTCCCCACTTCCGTGACACCCACCCAACCACGACTCGTGCAGCACTGGCTCGCGCACTCGAAGTTCAAGCAGCCAACAAATGTGTTGACATCTGGAATCCAGCTTCCGGGTCTGGCTCAACGATCTTCTCCGGTACGTTCAAATAAACGTCGTTGCTTCACATGTGGTGACATTGGGCACTTAGCTCGATCCTGCCCAAATCACTTGGCCCCGTGCAAAACGCCACCTATACCAACGCCAAATGTTTCAAGTGACAGTGAGCCTGGCAAGGTTGAGTCTCATGTAGTGCATCATGTCCCTGTGGTGACAACGTCACTGCGCACCTCACCAACGCCATGTCTTTCAGTTCATCTTCATGAGTTGGGACAACATGTAAATGCTATAGTGGACACCGGAGCTGCAGTTAGCCTGATTGATTATGCATTACTGCAATCAGCGAAGTGTACCACGCCCAAAACACTTCCTGGTACCGTCTGTCTTATATCAGAAGCCGTTTCAAGAATCGAGCAAGAAGGGCAGATCTCGTTGGCTGTAGAAACCTTAGGAACAACAATTAACCTCCCCTTTGTAATTGTGCACAAGTTACAATGGTCAATGATACTCGGCCGTCACTGGTGTTCAAACGTCACTCTCTCTATCGTTTCGAGGAGGTGAACATTGTTTGGCAGCCCTACCAACTTCAAGTATTGGCGATCAGTCTAGTTGGTCTGCGACAAAGTTGCCCCAAGGAGATAGCGGGAAAACAATGAAGCAACTTCCTGGAATTTTGAGAGCTTATTCGATGGATTTGTCCTAGAGTGGTCCAGCTTGAAAAAAACTGACAAAGACCGCTGTTGCCCAAGTATGTTCGAGCGTCGCAACTGCTAAGACATTTTTGTCTACACTAATGGCACCGATGGTCAATCGAAAACCACAGAAGGTGTTCCGTATTGTCGCAGCATCGGACATTGTTGTACCTAAGTTATCTGTAGTTTGGGCTACAGCAATATTTCCAGGTTCACTGACGTCAAAAGATATCCTAGTTGAATCACTGCTACAATCTCGTCCTGAGATGGAGTTTGCTATACCTCGCTGCCTTGTTTTCTGCGAGAGGGGAGTTTGATGCTTCCAGTTTTAGACATGACGAATGGTGACCTGCTCCTAAAATCCAGTGAAGACTTTGGACCTGTGACATTTGCCCTCTCACATGCCACTGTCGCGACAATTAATACGGCACCAACGATGTCTTCCCCGCAAGATTGCCTTGAAAAAGCTAGTGATCTTCCGTGGTCGGAATTTAATTTCGGCCACAACTTAACAGAACAACAAAAGGCACAGATACAAGATCTGCTTTTGAACTTTCGACAGTGCAATGCTATTACACCAGAAGAGCTAGGCTGCACACCACTTGTGCGCCACACTATCAATACTGGTGGTCACGGTCGAGTACATCACAATCCAAGACGTGTTTCGATGAGAGAACGGGAGGCGATAAACCGCCAGGTAGACGATATGCTTTAAAGGAACATTATAACTAGCTCCAACAGTCGTTGGTCGTCACCCGTCGTCCTGGTTAGGAAAAAAGACGGCTCTACAAGATTCTGCTCGGACTACCGGAAACTTGAACAGCATAACAAAACCAGACGTCTATCCTTTGCCACGACGTGACGATGCCCTTGATCGCCTTCATGGCGCCAGCTACTTTACTACTCTGGATCTCATGTCCGGCTATTGGCAAGTCGAGCTGGAGCCGAAAGATTCCGAAAAAAACTGCCTTTGTGACTCCTGACAGATTGTTCCAGTTTAACCGTCTTCCATTCAGACTCTGCAATGCACCTGCGACCTTCCAACGCCTCATAGATAGGGTGCTTGGACGCCTGAAGTGGACGATGGCGTTAGTTTATCTTGATGATGTCATTGTATACGCTGACACCTTTGAAAACTACCAGCACCGTCTGCGTCTAGTGTTGAATGCCCTCACCAATGCGCGTTTCCGTCTGAAACCATCGAAATGTTTCTTTGAATGCGACACAGTCATTTACTTAGGGCATGTTGTCAACACAGAGGGTATTTGCCCGGATCTAACCAAGCTGGCAGCGCTAGCCAATATTCCTGAGCCCACTACCTGACGAAGTGGGTCGAAGTGGAGGCAGTCCCCGATACTTCAGCTGTGCATCTCGTCGCCTTCGTCAACAAGCACCTTGTATTAAGGCATGGTACACCCCGGCTGATAATATCTGACAGGAAAACGTCATTTATTTCCCGTGCTTCCGGTTGTGCTTTGCGAAATTACGGAATTGAACATGCGGCCGCTTCACCCTACCATCCTCAAACGAATGGCCTAGTAGAGCGTACCAACCGCAGCATTGAAGATATATTATCTGCGTTCGTCAATAAATCTCACAAGAACTGGGACACATTCATTGGTACAGTGGCGTTCGCTTTGAACACTTCATAACAGGAAGTGACCGCCAAATCTCCATTTGAGCTTGTTTACGGAAGACTCCCGACGCTTCCGCAGGAATCTTCGATGGGCGCCGCGTGAACCCGTCGGGCGCGAGAGTATGAAGAGAACTTCGCTGAACGACTAAGTGAAGCAAGAAAACTTGCTCGGCTGGCAATCCTAAAAAAGCAATCAAAGTTTGCCGAACGTCAAAACAGAGACACTTCGTTGTCGTCGTTTTCACCAGGTAATGTGGTGCCTCTTCGAAGGCACCTAAGACGTCCGCAGCACTCGGAAAAGCTTTTGCCCAGATACTGCTGATCTTTCAAGATCAGCAGGCAACTTGGACCTGTAACATTCCGCCTCGAAAACAATGAGACCCTGCCTCAGCGTGGGCGACGCCGCACTTTGACAGCTCATTTAAGCCATCTGAAAGTTTCTGTCACACATGGCGACTATCTTAGCATCGTCCGGGACGGACTTCCAAACAGGGAGGGGCAAGTGTAACGGACAAGCAAAAGAAAGAAAAGGATGAGAAGAAGAAGAGGTCGTGTGGAAAACGGGGGACTGAATTCTGAGACTCCCGCAACAATATATATTTATTGATATTCTTAAAACTGGCACAGTCAGATTTGTCTCCTTCATACCTTCTTCACATACATTTTAATAACGATTTAATTTCCATATCATAATTCAAGATAAGGCAAATCTCAGGATATTTTGGGGGAACCCTCTTACAAAGCAGGATGTTCTTTCTTTTTTTTTTCTTTTGATTTTTCGTTGCCATTGCCAGGCAGGGAGGCAAAAACAAAAGGCATTGCTGCCTGCAGAGTTCCTACTCCCGTACAGTTCAAAGTAAAACATGAATATGCACCAAGATTGTAAAACCATTTTTAACACTTTACAAAAAATTCCAGGAGTAGGTCCACTCTAGCAAGTTTGAAAAGGATGATGAAGGCGGGAATCCGTGCACCAACAAAATTAGAAACTGACTCAAGCATGCTAGGAAAACTTCAAATACAAAAAATAAAACATGAAGAATGGACAAAAAAGCACAAGAAATATAATTTAAAAAAATGACCACACACACGAACAATGTTAAAGATGACACGGTTAACTGTGATGTAATGATTGTACTGATAAAAATGACTTTCCAAATTTACTAAAAAACAGACGCATTTGGAAAAAGAAATGTAAATCATAATTCAGCTCCTGCTTGCTCTAATTTGTCTGTATGTTCGGTTTTCTTGTGTTGGGCCGGAATGTATCCCCTTGTGTTGTGGTGTTAAGCTTACAAAATTGCGAAGTGAGGCACAACTTCGTAGAGTGTGCCAGAGTTGTACAGGTCAAATGATCACAAATCAAACTCGTTGCCTGGTGTCGCTGCCACAATGTCGTTGCATTTTTCCACAATGTAGGAGCACCTGTGATTGGAGTAGCACACAGTTTTCAGACGTCGGCAAAGGAGGATAAATAATCCGCAAACCACCAGCAGCTCCTCGACTTGGAGGAAGATTGGGGGGTCGTTCTGCACATCGAAGATGATCACATCCCCCAGTCGGTACATACGACTGTTTGCGCTGGCAGTCTTCACAGAGCAAAGGGTAGCTTCTGGCGTGATGAGGGAAACGGCGGCTTGCTCTTCTTGTGAAAGGCTGGTTACCTTCACCACAACAGAACTAGTCGTTTCAATGCAGCTTCCGAAAAGCTTTCCCGAGAGCTCGTAGGCTTGCAGCAGCTGATGATGTGTGCTTAGTGTTCGGCAGATGTTGCGAAAGTTTCACACATTCAAAGCAATAGTCTTGAAGTAGGCATGTTTAGCCTCGAAGCGCATTCCCCAGTACCGACGTGGTGGGCCAAACCTCTGTATGAAGCCTGGGTAATGGAGCAAGTAGTGCAACTTTGCTGTCACTGGTGCAGATAGATACAGCAATGTGAATGCTTCCAGAAACTCTTGGATCTTGAGCTGGAGATAGGAAATGCAGTCTCGTGGAATCCTCTCTGCTAGGATAATGTCGATGCAATGTCTGTAGGCCACGTCGACTAACCAATGTGGGTTATAGGAAGGCACAGAATCTCCAGAGATCTGCGGGAGAAGCCTGAATAAGCACCACTTTTGGCTTGCTGCGCCACGCAGGTCAGTTTTTCCTTGCAGAAACTTCCCTTTAGGTGCAACAGGGGCAGCCTTCTTGTCGTGAAATCCATAAGTGAAGCTTTTCACCTTGTTCACGTCGGACTTTTGAAGTGTGCCATCTTCTACTAGACCATGCAGGTCACGCTGCATGACAACGCCCATTCCCCCTTCCAAGATATCATGCATTGCATCCGGGGGGAGTTGTGATGTAATGTCAAACTCTGCGATGCTCTGGAGAGGAGGAATGGCAGAGATGCCATACAATGGGCCATTTTGGGCTGGATTCAAAGAGAATGCTTTCAGGTGGCTTTCATGTCCTGCGCGTGTTCTCATCGTACAATCTGCCTCGGAGAAAAACTTCTGCAGATGCCCGTAGCGAACAAGGCAGAAACGACATATGCGGCCGCTATTAAAGCAGCACTGGAGGCCAGCCATCTTGTGCATAGAAAGGTTGTCCCCGGTGAATGCTACTGTCACCACATTGAAGTGCTTCCATTGTGCATGCACGCCACGCTCATGGAGATAATTCAAGTCCTGGATAAGGGGAGCGAGAACTCGATCCAAGCCTTACTTGTTGACCATCGGGTACCTGACAAGCAGCAGGAGGTGCACGGCACTCAACTTTGACCGGTGCCTTGGATGGATGTTGATCACCGAGAAGTAGACCACAAGGATCTTGTGAGACCCTGCTGCAGCACCCAGAGCATTGCTCAGCTCAAGTTCATCTGAATAAAAGAGAAGGGAGATGGTCGGTGTCTCACTGTCCTCTTGGCGCAACAGCTGTTGGCTGAGGAAGTCTCCATCAGTAATGTCTTGAAGGACTTTGGACTGATGTATAGGCTGCATGACACTTTCAAGGATTTCAGTGGATGATAGGAGATTTCCCAATAGTGGCGATAGTGGTACATAGCACAGCGACTCTTGCAATGGAGAGGAGGAATGGCAGAGATTGGTTGCCCGTCTGAAGTGGCATCACCAGAACGTCTGTGTACGAGAGGTTCTCCATCACCTATTTCTTTCTAAGGTAGGTGGTCTGTATCCCTGAAAATTTGTCCTCGACAACATGCTCAGCATTTTGGAGTGAGGCCAACCTCTCTCTCACTGACGTGGCAACATTCTCCTTCTCGAGGACATCTTGAGTTTGCTCCGTGATACTTTCAAGGACTTCAGACACCACATTTCTTAAAACACTCAGGATTTCATCAGGAGTGCTGTGTGCTAGCTTCAGCTCCTCGGTAATCCTAAGGTGAAATAACAACAGCCGTTTTCGAAGAGCCCTTCTCCTGTCTTCCCTTGGTGCTTCAGGGGATGGCTCTTGTGATGATGCACTTGGCGAGTGTAAGCTGTCGTGTTCAGTCTTTGTCAGGTTCATCGGCTTTCAGATCTAAGGCCGAAGATTTGAAACCTTAGATCTGAGAGCAACACAGGAGTGTGCCCCTCCGAGTCAACCAACTGGCAGAGAGAGGAAGGCGGTTGCTTATATAGCGATTGCCTCCTCTCCCCCCTCCGACATGCCCCCAGCCAATCCAAGAAGGGAATGGGCGGAAAAGAAGTGCGGAAGGCGTGAGGGCATGTCGGCGGGGTTCTGCGTAGTTGATAGCCACTTTGCTCTGAGGTCTTTCTTTATTGTCAGGGCCGTCATGGCTACAGTCAAAGTCCAAGGCAAGGCACGAAGGTGTCCACTCGTGATGGCACAGCGAAGGGCTCGGTTGTCCGTGAAGATCAGGGACGCGGGTGGTGCGAGGAGGGCAGCAAGGGTCCAGGCGATGGCTTCCCTCAAGTAGATACGGGGGTCCGAAGACGTCAGGATGGCGAGCGCGGAAGATGGGGTCACCACACCAAGTCCGTCGTTGGAGGCGTCCGCAAAAAGAACGTGCACAGGTGGTACGGGGACAAGCGGGAGGGTGTGTGGTAGGGAGTGCCAAAGTTCCTTGAAAACAAGAAGCCACTGGAGGGGGGAGGTTGGGTGGTAAGGACGGAGTTGAAAAGTGGCCGAAGGGCACTGTACCCTGATCTGTACAATGAAAAATAAAAGGCCCAAAGGCCGGCCAAGCGGCGGTACTGGGCACGAGAACACGGGGATTGTAACAAGGGAAGAGTGTCGGCCAGGGACCGAATACGCTGGGGAGTGTGTCCTATAGTGGAACTGACGGTGTCCAAACGAAAGCCCAGGAACCCAATGGTCTGGGAAGGTACAAGAGTGGTGTCCTTTGGGTTAATACGAAACCCACAAGTAGTGAGCTGTTGCACAAAAAGTTGTGTTTGTGCCTGGAGGAACGAGGGATCTGGGTGTGCGAGTAGGAAGTTATCTATGTACGCCCACGCCCAGATCCCGCGTGAGCGAAGGGTACGGGATAATGCAGTGGCAAGAGACTGCATTAAAAAAGGGGCTGGTCGGAGACCAAACGGTAGACGCGTGAAGGAAAAATAAGCGCCGTCAAGACGGAAGTTTGTAAGCCGCTGAGCGGAAGGGTGGAGGGAAACATGGTAGAAGGCCTCCGCCAGGTCCACCTTTGTAAAATATGCATGTTTTTTTCGTGCGTGCGTGCGTGCGTGCGTGCGTGCGAGCGTGCGAGCGTGCGAGCGTGCGTGCGTGCGTGCGTGCGTGCGTGCGTGCGTGCGTGTGTGTGTGTGTGTGTGTGTGTGTGTGTGTGTGTGTGTGTGTGTGTGTGTGTGTGTTAGTGTGTTACCGTATTACGTGTTCGCACAAACGATTTCTGCGACCTCGCGCCATTTTCGTCGTGCGCTTGGAAACGTGAGTCGCAAGTTCCGCGCGCAGTTAAACCGCTCAACTTTTTTTAGATCCCACTGCTGCTTAATATGGAGTCACAATTATTTGCATAAAACGTAAGATTGGCCCCTCGCTTTTAGGAAGCAGCCTGTTACGGTGTGTAAGCTGTTACGAAAAGTTTTGTCGTCCTTTAAGATTGCCTCCAAATGCAAGCGAAACTGATGTGAGACATGATTTCCTTATCAAGTTCCCGGAGATCATTTCGGGCCTGGAGAATGTTCTGACTCAGGTGCGTATAACGATAATGTATGATAATATTTTTTGCGTACGTATAAAATTGTTATCATAGCTGCAGTGCAGTAATAATACAGTTGGCCACCGTACCTGCGACACATAAAACACACCAGGCATATGAATACAGACTGACTTCCACCTTCGAATTGTTCACAAGAAACTGCCTTTTACCCTCCTTTGGATTAAAGGGACCATAAAGAATATTTCAAACTTTTAAAGAAGGTGCTATTTTCGGCTCGCTCAATTCGACTTGCTCAGTTCTGAAGCACTACATCAATTCAGCCTCTACTACTGAATTTGTATGTTAACAATATATCAGTTAATCGAACCGAAAAAATACGGGTTCGGTTACGGTTCAGGTTCAGGTAAATTTATTTTGTTCCGGGTCAGTTCCGGTTCGATTAATTCGATCCGCGAACCGGTTCGCGAACCGGTTCGGGCGCTGAACTGGTTCGCGAACCGGTTCGGAAATTATAAATGACAAATTGTAACATCAAAATAAATTACAAATAAAACATCTGAAATCAGCACATACGAAACAGGATACATCGTAGTGTAAGGCTCACGGATTTCTACCAGGAATGGTTTCTTTATGTGCACTCAAAGGTTACCTCACCGACGTTTACGCATTCGGACTTCATCTAATTGGGTTCGACGCAGTAGCTGTAAAATCCGCGACCTCCTTACAAACCCACTTACAAGTAAAACTCGCTAACTATCCCGCCACCTCGGCATGTAAGCAATTGAAGGAACAGTGGGGAGAAAATACAACTTTCTTTATTTGAACTAGCCTTCGGTAACTCAAATTAGACCCTTAAAGAAGTTTTCATTAAACAAGATACCGAATATGAATAACACTTCACCGAACGCAACGCCAGAAGGACGTAATAGGATAAATATTAAAATAGAAGAGTTCGCTGTCGCACAAATATGTTAGCTTCTAAGTGCCTATACGAAACCGGGTGCATTAATATCAAACTCCACAGCCTTTTCTTTTCTCATTCCGTTGCAAGCAAGCTTCAAGAACTCGCGCGTTCTAGAAACGTGTTATGAAATGAGCACACAGCGGCATTTAGGATTTACGAGATTGTAGGAAAATAAAATCCCGTGACGCGATTTTTTTTTTTTTTTTTTGCACAGCCTTCCAATTTTTTTTTTTTTTCCGTGCAAGCCGCTACCAGCGCAATACTGGTTCCTATGTCAAGCTTCATGGATGCAGCGTTTGTCAAGATTCATGGATGCAGCGTTTATATTCCTAAGACTGAGTAGAGAAGAAAAATATGTAAGCGAGGTGTGTGTCAGTTGACGGCACTTAAAAAACAAATGGCATTGATAGCACATTCATTGTCAACAGCGCGTGGCCGAACCGTTTTGACATGAGCCGGTAACCGTTATTTTTTTTCCGATTCAGTTCCGGTTCGGGTTCATCGCGATAACAATATAACGGTTCGGGTTCGGGTTCAGTTCCGGAAAAAATACCGGTTCGGTTCCGGTTTTCGGTTCGGTTCGGTTCCGGTTCGACACCCTGCAATATATGCTTCAAAATTTTCACTCTTCCAGCCAGCGAATGTTGCGGCACTGGAAGATGAACTGAGCGACAAAACACACATAGCTGCTATGCAGAAGGAGATAGCAAAAGCGAGTTCCAATGTACTGAACATCGCAGACTCTATGGAAAGGACATTTGCCGCAAGACAGAAATGGATTGCCGAAGGGTGTCCCTCAGTGGCAGACATTTTTGAAGCCTACCCTGCACTGTAGGAGGTGAAGGAAGTAAGTGAGGAACACTGGACAGCTTGTACCTAAGTACTCTCGTTGCTATACATTTGCATCTTAGGTTTTTCTGGAGTTCCAAAGAATCCCAAGTGTGCACCCCCAGGAGCTGGAGGTGCTGGCGGAGAGGCACATGCCAACACTTTTACGTTTGACGGGAAAGAAAGTTGAGGGCGTCAGCCTGAAGCTGCTTGCGAAGGCAGCGACGGTTCCGGATGGAGGCTGTGAGTATCAAACCAACTAATTTTCTTTGTATTTGCATATTCAGCTGTAGCAAATTCGTAGGTTAAGCAGTTGGTATTCAGACGACATGATGAAACACAGTGCACAGAACACAGGACAAAAGTATTTGTCAGCCCTGTGATCGGCCCTCCACGTGTCTTTTTTAAGTTTCCCATTATTTTTCGTAAGTTGTTTGATTTTATTGTGCTTTCTTTTAACAAATATGTGCATGGGTTTCCTCCTCTACTCATAATTATCAGTTGTGAGCCGGTGCCTCTTTGTTTTAAGTGTTCCTTTTCCCTTTTGCCCTGTCTTCAGTGCACTGTTTTTCATTGTGTCGCATACTCAGATTTTAATTTCTGAGATTTGGCATAGCCTTCGAGTTCTGGCTCTTCTTCCTCTTGCCTCCAAGGTATGACGACTTTGGCTTTCCTCATGACACTGCCAAGAATTTTGAAGGAACGGACAGCTTTCCTGAAGGACTCGGTAACTGCTTTTTTGTTTCCTTTCTTTTTAGGATCTCGCTGCGCATGGAACTTTGTATATCTTTATGAAGTTGGGCATGGGGTATCCTTGGATTGGACTGAATGAATACACCGAGAGACACATGAGCAACTACAATATAATGACCTACAATACAGACCCTTTCAGGCAACATTTCCTGGACGCCGCCATCTTGACGTCACGTCACCCTGCCACCATAGCCGACCTTCAGTTTCTCGCCGTTGCTCCGCGTTGTGTGCTGCACCGGCCACTACCGGAGCTTGTTTTCGTGTTCTTTTACGTTCCGCGTACAAATTGTGCTTTCTTTACGTCTTTTCGATAT